GAGGTAGAAATACGAATGGGACAAAGGTGTCCAAGCAATCGACTTCTGTACAAAGTCTTCTTCTAATAAGTTATTATCTTATAGCATCTTGCCCGCTTAACCAATCATTATGAAATTTGGTATACACAAACTGTACGCGTATGTAATGGAGAAAGATGTAGGTTACTTTTGTCCCGGTCAATAAACATATTCCGGTCACGCGGTTAAAGTCGCTGGTAAAAGCTACTAGGAAATATTTAAGAGAAAATGATATGAGGGGTATATTTAATAAAAGCAATAGAATCCAAAATAATAGTTTTAGAACTTTTATCTATCTATCTGCCTACCTTTCTATCTGTATGTTTATTTCTGTATCACGTAAAATCTACTGCATCAAGTTGAATGCAGTTTTCGCATTTATATTTCCGAAGGTTTAACTTAAGAACTGGTATATGTTTAATCTTGATACGTCATCTAGAAGTGGTCTTATTGGTTACCGTACTCCTAAAAGCCACGCGTATGAAGTAGTTAGCAAATCATTAGTTCAAAATAAAGTACATGCATACTATACGGGCCGTGCAAATATCCCGTGCTCTGTTGTGGAGACTAACCGCGAACAACTTGTGACTGAAATTGAGAGTACTTTTTCTAGAGTCTTCGATTGGGGACAACTAAAAGTAGTCCAATTTAATCCATCTAAGAAATAAGCTTGCGCGTTTACTGCTAAAAAATCCAATCACTGTGACTCCACAATTTGAGAACACATTTATTGTCATCTCCAAAAGTATTGTTGGGATCCTCGGTGTCGACATCTCCAGTACTGTAGAGTTTCGAGGTTATATAGAAGATAGATTAAAGCTGGCGTCTAAAAAGCTCGGGGTGCTCAGTAGACCAAAACGGTACTTAACCCCAAAACAAAAACTATTATTGAACAAGTCGCAACTCCGGCCGCTCAAAGAGCACCTGGATATTACCTTGGTCCTCTTGATTTGGATCAAAGACGGGCTATGAGAATTGTCAACGATTCCAAGCTCATAAGCGGTTTCGAGCTCTTAAGTCTTTGCCTTGCTTTGTATGTTTTACCGCTTTTATAATGGATTGTGTTCTGAGGATTTATTTTAAATGATGCTCACAGCTATCTTTTATAATCGCATCGCTCGCCATTGACAGGAATTTCATCCTAATACGCTTGAGGTCACGTGCAGTGCAGTTTTAAAGAAATTTTCTTCTGTGAACACTCAGGCTGTGAAATGAACTCCCTATCGAGGTTTTCCCTAGAGACTACAGTGTAGGGTTCTTCAAAAAGGGTATATTAAGATTTTTTCAGGGACAGCAATGCGCACGTGCTTACATTGTACTACTTACATTCTCCTAGTGTTGCAGGCGTACATAGGCTACAGTGTACCATTTACCATCAGACGGGCTAAATGCTTGTTTGCTTTGTGGTATAAAAAAAATCAAATTAAGAAATTCATGCTTTTTAAACTACTAAAGAAATAAGAACGAATTTATAGATACTCCTTTTTCAATTGAAATTAGCCATTGAAAATTAAAAAAAGTCATTTCTAAGATGATATATTATTATTTCAAAAATGACTATTTAATTTTAAACAACTCTATTTAAATTTTGAAGCGTCCCTTTTCTAGAGTCCTTCAAAGGAATGTCAGAGAAGAATTTTAGGGTTGTCCCTTGGTATTGATCAAAGGGTTTAGGTTACTATATTAAAGGATCTCGAATGGTAGGGGCTATAATGAAATACAAATTATTGTTAAGATTAAGATTAACATCTTCACAGTTGGTGACTATCGTGCAGTTAATGTTAATAATTTTATTCGTGATTTCGTCCACTTTACTGGGATATAACGTTTTATCGGGATAAATAGTAATCTGTAAATTAATAGTCCACTTTCTTTCTTGTGGGTGTTGTAAGAGGCGACTAAGGGAACTTAATGATCGGGGATGGGCAGCAGCGACTCTCTCAACAGTCTTAGTGTGGTCATGTTATGCGCAGAAATAAAAGTCATGTTTTAAAGAAAATGCTAAGTTTGAAAGTAGATGAATGTAAAGGAAGGAGACGACCGAAGAAACGATGGATGGATCACGTGAAAGATGATATACGTAAAAGAGGAATGAGCCCGAAAATTATAGTTGACAGGGAGTTGTGGAAGAAAAAAACATACGCGTCGACTCCAAACAAATGGGAAAAGGCAAGGGAATGACAAGTAAGGATTAATAGTAAAATTAACAGTATTAGATAAATAAAGAAGTATATTATAAAACACGACGAGGACTATGACTCAAACTAACCAGGAAGAATAAGTTATATATATATACAATATGTAGGTAGATATGTATGTATATATGACAATTTGATAGTTGTTTTTCAAACAGTTTTAGAATGAAGTTTACAGAACTTCCCTCTTGATAGACACTCTGTTAGCAGTTCAACACGAGTTTGTTAGTTTCCCAAGTTTTCGGAAGCCTGTCCGCCCGAGACTTTGTTTTAGTGTAACTACGCCTTATTTGTTGTTTGTTTTGACGTAGAATTACCAAACACTTTTACAAGTATATATTAAGAGACGTGTACATGAAACGTAGTCCAATTTGGGTATTATATTAAAGCAATGATGGTCTTACAATAAAAAATATTTAAATGAAATAATTAAATAAATGTTTTGAAAAAAAAATTGGCAAATGTTATTATAATATTGAAGAATATTTAAGCGATATTTTTTCATATATATTTCTTTTGACATTTGCTACTGATTATAATTTTATTTGACTGTAAGATTTGACTTTATGATTTATCAATATTTTTTTTTTTACAGTAATATTAAAAGTTAATTGACAGACCTTGAGTGTTTTGGACGCCAGCTCGATCCTATCTTCTAGATGACTTCGGAAATTTACAGTACTAGAGATGTCGATACCGAGGATCTCAATATTTTTGGAGATAACAATGGATGTGTTCTCGAATTATAGAGCCGCAGTAAATGGTTTATTTTTGAGGTGAAGGTGCAAACTTGTGTCTTAGATGGGTTAAATTGGACTAAGTTTAGTTGTCCTTAATCGGGGACTCTAGCAAGAGTATTCTCGATTTCAAAGACAAGTTGTTCGCGGTTAGTCTCCACAACGGAACTAGGGATATTGATATGGCCTGTGTAGTATGCATCCCGAGTACTGTCATCCGCATAACAATGAATGTCGACCGTAGCTAGCAAATCATTGATATGCAGCAAAAACAGCGTTGGGACAACAAAGGACACCGGCATTAATGTTCATGCTGTGGCTCCAATTTGTCTAATAATTTAGGAGAACTCTTGTGCTAGTCTGTAAAGACAGACATTTTCTTAACTTACTAAACCCAGCATTCATTAAAAGTGATTTAAAAGTGTTTGTAAACAAGCTTATTCGAATAAAGATAATTTGAATTTGACACAAATTTATAATTGAATAATCACTTTTGTTGAAAAAAAAAACAACAGTTGAGTTTCTTGCCTGTTTTTCTCATCTGAAATTGCATTTCGAATGGGCGATGGAATGATAAAAAAGAGACTATTCAAAAATGCTAATAATTAAGTTTATTTGGATTAAAAAATATTGCTATTTCAGATTACTTAAGACGAAGTTTTATTAAATGGTATGTGATTGGAGCTTTATGTATAACAAGTATATATCATATTATAACTTTAGTTGTTTAGATAGTAAACACTCTCAAGGGTAACATTAATTAATATACATTTTGTATTGTTTAAGTTATCTTCAGATAGCGCGCGATTTTAGGCGGTTAATACAAGGAGCGATGCGACGTGTTTCACAGTGGATCGTGCAGAAAACTAGTGGTGTCCGATCACGCAGGACCAATTTTTTGTTAATTTAAAATAGAGCCTTAAGACCATTGATATAAGGGTTACTTTTACATTTAATTTTTTTGCCGGTTATCGAGTATTATATATCAAATATATATGTAGAAATATTAAACAAATATACGGTAGTAGCATTTATTTGCCGAATAGATAAGTCTATAATAAATAAATAAATAATCAAACAAAGAATTGTTATTTTGAATAACACTATTAAGTATTTATTATTCAGTTATAATAATATAAATTAATTAAAAATATATTCTATATATTATATATAGTAATAATAACAATTAGAAATAAGGCGAGCGTTGTTAATGTGCTGGCAGCTTTTTAGCTATTTTTTATACATCATCTTCATCATCATTATATCAGCCATTAACTGTCCACTGAACAGAAGCCTCTATTAAGTTGACCGTTAGCTCGTTTGCCATTCTAAGTTGCATAAAAAAAAAACTATATGTGTATATAATATTAGGTTATCAATATATATTACATACTAGTGGTCCGGTACGTGGTTCGCTACGTATAAAGTGAAATAATAAAAAAATTTAAAAAGTATATTAAAGTTTAAAAATATAAACACAAAGCAATAATTATCGCTGATAATTTGCTTTAATCGAAGCACGTCCAAAATGAAATGACCGCATGAATGACATAACAACATGCTTGTACTGTCAACACTGAAAAAAGTTTCAATTAGACAGTACAATCCCCATCTTAAAAAAAAAGTTTGAATTTGACACAAAAATCCCTATTAACAAAATGTTTTGCCATTTATTGAATTCATTTGTTACAAAAAATGTGATAAATGAAGAACCGCTCGACAGATTTTGTGCAAACTTCACATAAACCACCTACTAAATAGTCTGAACAAAGCCTAAACATTTGCTTTGGATAGGTGAGTCCGTTCTTGAGTTATAAAATTACAACGAAAAATGACATCAATTTTTATATATATAGAATAGTGGATGCAGGTGGCTCAGGACTGTTCTTTATGGCAGTCTAGGGGAGGCTTGTGTTCAGTACTGGACAGATAATGGCTGAGATGATGACGTTATAATAAACTGGTATAGGTAGATAGAGGTGAAATCGAAATCATTATTATATATATATATATATATATATATATATATATAAATATGGCTGACACTTACCTAATAGTGACGTATGGTGATTAAATCTGTAAAAGAGAACATATAAATTAGAAGCAATTCCCATAAAATTCAAAATTAATTAACATTTTTATTAACTTTTTTTATTAACGTGCCAGTTAGATGCACTATATATTTTTTAATGTTTTTTCATTCATGTTCCTTCAGGAAAAATTATCAAATTCACTGATAAGCAGTAATGGTACAGATTTCACTTTGAATATTCAAGATGACTTTTAGATTGCATGGTTTATGGTTTTAAAGAGACGGAAATACTGTTTGAAACATCAAGATAATCCAGGTTAAAATTATTATAGTTTACCTACTTGATTCCGTTAATTCTCGTCTCTTAAACAATAAACCGTTTAAAGTCGTCAACTTGTTTGCCATATCAGATTGTTGCATAGAAAAAGATTATATCTCTTAAAAAAAAACAATTAAATCGATCAATTGTGACAATACAGTTATTTTGATTTTTTTATACAACTCAGAATGGCAAACAAGCTGACGGCCCACCTGATGGAAAGTGGTTACCGTCGCCTATAGACATGTGCAGTACCATGGACATAACAGAGTACACTGTTTCGCCCGTGATACCCCCCATGCGATGCCATTTCTGAGGACTCAGGTGTTTTCCTCTGTACCCTGTAAATTCACGCCATATCCCACCCTTCAAACCGAAACACAGCCATGCAAACACAACTGCTTCACGGTAGAAACACGAATGGGACAGAGGTACCCAAGCAATCGACTTTTGTACAAAGTCTCCCTCTAGTATATCTGGTATTTCTGGTATTGATTTAAAAACTAAACTTCAACAGTTTAGTTTTTTTGATAAAATTTCAACAAAATCAATCTGTAAGTATAACCTCATAGACTTAGATTATATAGATAGAGTGTCTCCATAGAAATGCTTCGAGAAAAACGGGTCAACTTTCACGTACAATTTTTCATGATAAATATTTATGAGTGTTTCCTTTATAACTTCTATATTTATTTTGTCTTATAATTATTGCATCTTTTTAATACGTAATCACGCATTTTATTTATTTATTAATACATCAAGGTACATTTTATGCGTAACTATATGAAACACTGATAAAAAAACGAGTCAGCAAATTTCACAATTAGGTAACAAAAAGTTGACCCGTTTTTCAGGCTCGATGCTCTATCTATATAGTTTAAGCTTTTAGATAAATAAAGAATTTTCAATATCAGCTTACTACTGACGGAGTTATATGGTAGCAAATTTATAAAAAAACTATAATCGAATTGGAAACCTCCTTCTTTAAAATCTTATCGTAAACTCTGCAGTCAAATATAAATCAAACTTAAGTTAGTTGGGGGGAAAGGGATTGTTAGTAATGGAGACTGAGAATCCTATTGCTAGCAATACACCTAACCAGGTCGACCTCCACGCGGTTCTCCCTGGAAACTATCATGGTTAATTCCTGATGAATTCATCATGATAGGCTAACTGGCCTGTTTTCATTCTCATCTCATCACCCTTCACTGGTGCTCCGCCAGCGTATCCCGTTAGCGCAGGCGGGGTTACCATACCATTTTCACCCAGCAAAAAAAAAACTTAAGTTAGTTTTATATGTTTTAGACATAATATAAAACCAAGGATAATGTTGTAGGAGGAAAGTTGGTAGAATTATGTTGTTTAAAATAAGAGAACGCGATTTTCACGGGAAATATTTCAGTGGCGTATTTTTCAGTGTGCATCGTAACGTTGAGCTGAGTTTCGTGTTGTTGTTAGATGCAATGTGCAACAATTTATAACTACGTGGTACGAATATAATGCGCTTTCTAACTGAATTTCGAAAGGTCGGATGAAAATATGTTACATTATATACCTATTTAGATAGATAGATAGATACTCTTTATTGTTTCCTCCAAAAGATTACAATAGTAAACTTATTATAAATATAAACAATTACAAGAAATAATCACAATGAGAAAACGATAGGCGACCATATCGCTAAAAGCGATCTGTTCCAGGCTATTTACTACTGTAATCTTTTGGAGGAAACAATAAACAGTATCTATCTATTTATTTATTTATTCTTTATTGCACAATAAAACTTTGTACAAGTAGCAAACTTAATGCCATATGGCATTCTCTATCAGCTAACCATTAGGTAAAAACAGAAAGCGTATGAAGAGCAGATGTGTTGAAAAATATGTGACAATTATAGTAACAGGGGGGGAAAGGGATTGTTAGCAATGGAGTTCGACATTGCTAGCAATATGCCCTATCAGGTCGACCTCCACGTGGTTCCCCCTGGAAACCATCGTAAACAATTCTTGTCGAATTCGTCACGATGGGCTAACTGACCTGCTTCATCCTCATCTGTCATCCCTTATTGGTGCCCCGCCGGTGTATACCGATAGCACGGGTGGGGTTACCATTACATTATCACCCATTAAAAAAAAATTATAGTAACACATTGAAATAATCGTACATAATACATAAGAAATGCACATGTAACACATAAACAATACTTTTAATATATATAGATATACTTTTATTTTTTACTATTTTTGCGGTTAACTGCTGAATATAAGCCTTCTACGTAAGGGCAGTTTTGCCAGCAGTTACCACGCTTGGCATGCAGATTGACAACCGCAGTTAACATAGTCTTTGGAGATGTTTTAAGAGGGACGCTGCTGCCTATCCCATTCATATTAGTATGAAATATGTAGTAACAATATTTATACATACTTTAGTAGTAAATGCACCGCCAACTTAATTTTCTGCTTACCTCATGGAAACAGAGGGTGACTTTCTACAAAAGTCGATTGCATGGGTACCTCTGTTCTATTCGTGTTTCTACCGTGAACCAGTTGTGTTTGCATGGCTGTGTTTCGGTTTGAAGGGTGGGATATGGCGTGAAATTACTGGGTACAGATGAATAACACCTGAGTCCTCAGGAATGACAACGCATATCACAACGGGTATCATGGGCGAAACAGTATGTGTATGTAATGTTATGTCCATGGTACTGCTCATGTCTATAGGCGACGGTTACCACTTTCCATCAGGTGGGCCGTCAGTTTGTTTGCTATTCTAAGTCGTATAAAAAAAAACTGGTAGAAAACGTCATTAGGTATTAAATCCGCCATATGTACACTAACTTACATAAGTTAATTGTGCATTGAAGTTTAAATAAATAAATGAATAATAATAGAGAATAAAATTACAATAAAAGCGGAGCAAATGACTCGAAACACACAAACAGTATATTCAGAAACTTTTACAATTATATACCAGAACATTTTCAGAGCCCGTATCAGAAATGTTTATGCGACACAGAGATACGCTTGCATACGCCCGGTATCGAAAATCAAACAGTCAATGTGATGGTGAACTAATTCCGACACTCACACCGTGGCGTAAAGTTGATATTATTTTTTTACAAAACTATGGTGGCAAACAAGCATGGCCCGTCTGATAGCAAAAGGGGTTATGGTAGCCTATGGATGCCTGTAATACCAGACTGTCACGCTCGACACTTGAGAAACATTAATACGTCCTTTTTAAAGAACTCCATGCTGTAGTCCCTAAAGAAAGCTTCGGCAAGAAGATGAACAACTTATGTACGTGTATTCGCGGGAGGAAGTTCCTATGAAAACTGCACTGTGCGTGATCATACGGGTTATTAAATAGTTTATTAAAAGTGGTTACTTATTAGGGTTCCTTAAAACCTCAAAAGGAAGAATAAATATCTAACATTATCAATTTGTTGACCATCTGTCTGCCTGTCTATTTGTCCGTCTCTCAAATTCCTTTTACTTAAAAACGCGTGGACGTATCAAACTGAGGTTAATATCAAATACCTAAAATTTCTTAAATTTTTGGAAAAATCAAACTCCTAAGTCAATACAGTCAAAAGATACCGCTATTTATAGCGTATATTTTAAAATTTGCATGAGAATCAAAATCTATAGGATATTTCCTGTTTTTTTTTTTTATTTTTATAATGGATGGTAATGGAATAGTAATTCCGCCTGAACTAATGGTATATTTCAACGGGGCACTAGTGAGGAATGATAGATAAGAATGAAAAGGCAGGTCAGTTTGTCGTAATGAATATATCTGGAAGGGATTGTTAGTAATGGGGATTAGCAACCCCATTGCTAGCAATAAACCCTATCAGGTCGACCTTCTCGCGGTTCCCCTGGAAACCATCGTGATTGAATCCATTATCATCCATTAATATATATATATATATATATATATATATATATATATATATATAGTAGTCCGTATTATTAATAAAAATGAACTGGTTTAAAAAATACACTAGTGTTACTTGAGATGATTTAAGGATTCTTACAATAATGTTTATCAAAATGTTGACTGGGAAAAATACTTTATTCTTAATTGGCCTCAGTATAAATATTTCTTTTGTACTAAGGTAAATAAAAAATAAATAAATATAGTAATTGATGCTCCTTTCCACTCAAGGTTTGCTGGAAGAGAACTCTTACAGAGTTAAGCTCTCCTGTTGTAAACTTTCATTTAATACAGATTTTAATTATGTAATTTTAGTGTACAATAAAGCATAAATAAATTAAAAATATATATTATATTTATTTACTCCTTATTATTTAATTGTATAAATATGGTAAAATAAAGAAATTCACAAACATAAGCCTTAAAGACGTTATACTTCTTTATATGTTTGTCGAGTGAATAGCATTTTGTTACCATTTAGACTTTACTGAGCATTAATAAAATATAAAAAAAACTATTTGAACAACATTCCGTATGGTTGTAAAAATAATGGTGCATAAAAATACGACCGTCGATTAAAATAAAACGCCACCGTCGGTGTAACATTCCGCCATTACTTTTGAAGTAAAAGGAGCATAAATTTCACTTTGAATGTTCGTAAACGACACTCGTGTTTGCTTTGTAATGCATATATGTTTAATATTGTACCTTAAAAGTAATATTTTGCTAATAAAGTTACTTATAAATTATCTGGTTCGAAGGACTAATTTTTATAGACCTTCGAGCCGGACTATAGTGTCTATAAGTAGTGGTCCATGAAGAGACTAACTTCAACTAATGGCCCAATTGCTAGCATTATTATATATTTTAATGCCTATATTTGGTTTACTCACTGTGTTACTCATTTATAAATAATCTGGCTAGAAGGATCACTTGGCTACTATAGTGTTTGTAAGCAGTAATTGGTTAAGGACCTTTACTAATGGGGATTATTAATATCTACTTGTCAAAATAAAAAATATTTACCAAAACCGAAACAGGTGTCAAAATCGACAAATATAAAGGTATAAATAAATAGAGTACTCCTCTTTGATGCTGCTAAAAATGGTGCATTTTCATTTTATGTTCAATATAGGTGACCAAAAATTGAAATAGCTTTTAAAAATATACGATATAGAATACAATTTCCCTAGCAGAATCCTCTTAGTCCATATAAAATTCTAGAGTTATCAATAAAAGTGCAACTTTCAATGTAGGGTAAGTGTATTGCGAAGAGAATATAATATTTAAGACCACTGACATTGTATGTAGAGCATTACCGCGATTAGGGTGGGGACATAGTAACAGCGGGTAGCAGCAGAATACGAAAGCGCAATAATGAACGAAGCGAGCCAGTGACGGAAAGAAATTATATTTCAGAAAACATAATTAATAAATGACTATTCTAATGAGAAATAGGTGCGACAAATATGCATGTATATAATTAATAAATAGATAAATAGTTACTTAGAAGCAGATTTCAAAGCGATTTACGTCTGTTAGAAGGTAAGAATTTCTATAAAGTTTTCTGGCCTACTTATTTTGACCCAGTAGCTATTATTTATGCTCCTATTTCTGCATTATGTTTATGTTTGAAGGATCGGATATAGCAGTAAATTTTCGGAGATATAGTACACTTGTATTTATGTCTATAGATAGTCACCACTTTCCGTCAATTGCGCGCTCAGCTTGTTTGGCATTCCATGTTGCATAAAAAAAAAATAAACAAATTCTAAGCTAATTTTTACAATTTTATATAAATATCAATATCATATTTTGTATATAAGACGGACTGTCAATTTGTTTGCTATGTTGCACAGTATTAAATTTGCCAGATTTCTTTGGAAACAAAATCCAGTACGAAGATATACGAATCCACGTTACGAATTTAAATATTTTCAATATAATATGTTTTAAAATATCACATCGTTTTCGACAGATCAAGACATGTTTTGTCACAATTCAAATAATTGTCATTTTAATTTCAAATCCTGCCCGCTCGCAAAGGCACCACAATACGTGATTTCACGATCCCCTCTAAGGCGCTAAGGGTAAACGAACCACTCTACATTATTGCTTCCCCGCATCTTCTCCATATGCAGATGTGCTGGGAGCGTTCCTGTTTGTTCAGCGTGCGTTTAGTTTGTTTTATATTTCCATACTATCTGCTCGTCAACTCAATGTATTCGACGACATGTTGGAAAACGTAATGACTAATGGCATATAGTAACAATTCTATTAATATTCGTGCTGTTAATGATAATTGCTTGATTATTAACTTAATTTTTTTATGCAACTTAGAGTGGCAAATAAGCTGACGGCCCATCTGATGGAAAGTGGTAACTGTCGCCTATAGACATGAGTAGTATCATGGACATAACTGAGTATACTGTTTCGCCCATGATATCTCCAGGCTCCAGGAAGACTCAGGCGTTATTTCCTCTGTACCCTGTAAATTCACAGTAAATTGAATGATAATGATAGTGACATATATATATATATATATATATATATATATATATATATATATATATATATATATATATATATATATATTTTTTGCCTGCTTTAATAAATAAATATATATAATATATAAGAAAAGCGTAAATATATGTTATTTGAGGATATAATCTATACGTGTACCAATTTTAAATCGAATGCGTTTAATAGTTTTTAGATAGATACTCTTTATTGTTTCCTCCAAAAGATTACAATAGTAAACTTATTATAAATATAAATAATTACAAGAAATAATCACAATGAGAAAACAATGGGTGAACTTATCGCTAAAAGCGATCTCTTCCAGGCAACCTTTGGATGGAGAGGAGAAGTTTTTGTGTAAAATAGTAACAATGCTCTAGATAAATTACTAAAAACGTTCACAAATTTTATTATTAAATAGTAGTAAGATTTTTAAACGAAACACTATGAAATGTTCCGTGATCTTTATGCAGTTATCACTTTCCATCAGGTGGGCCGTCAGTTTTTTTTTTTATTTGACTAAAAACACAAAGTTACAAAAACAAGATACAATGGGCCCCACACTACGCGAACCTGTATTATGGGCACCCGACTGAGATTAACAAATCACAATGTGTTATAATAAAAAGTACATAGTGGGGCGGGTGTTAATATAAAAAGGAATATAACATTGAAATAGTGAAAAAAGTAATAAAATCAACAATATAGACATAGAAGCAATTATAAAACACTAATAATATATGCCTTTAAGAGAAGCGAAGTCGAGTAAATGAATGTGGGAATGTTCGTGAGTATGTGTTAATGTGTGTTGTGTAATCCATGTGAAGGATGTGTAACTGTATGTTATTACTTTCCAGACCATAGTTTCTCAGTTGCCTCGAAACATAGTGATAAAAGATATTTATTTAATTTATGTTTCATAATATGTGTACCATGACTTATCAGTGGACACACTTTGTTAATTTTATAGTACATTGACGGAGATGCAAATGCACCAAAACGGCGGGCAAACGAAGATCTGATGGTAGGAATGTTTAGCTTGAGCCTCCTGAAATGTAACAGTTTAATTAACATTTTAAAATATATAAAACAACTAACTGACCAGTTAAACGTTGTTCTGCCGTATAAATATTTTTTTTCTAGATATTCCTTATCACCTAGTAGTGGTATGAAATAAACTTCACCGCCTATTCTCGTACCTAGCAAATATATATAAAAAAATCATAAATATCGGTCGAATCGTTTTGAAGGACTACAAACACAGTGACACTAGATTGTTATATATAAGATTACACTTACTTTTCATGAATTTTCTGTGGCGTCCTTCCTTTGTGTCGTTCTGAATCTGAAAAAAAAAGAAAAATATTGAAACATACATATATATAAAATATCTATTAAACGTAGAATCATCATCATCATCATTTCAGCCATTATCCGTCCACTGCTGGACATAAGCCTACCCCATAGACTGCCATAAAGAATAGTCATGAACCACTTGCATCCATTGCCTCTCTGCAACACATTTCAAGTCATCACTCCATCTAGTGGGCGATCGTCCTACACTGCGTTTAGCCGTACGTGGTTACCACTAAAGAACCTTTCTTCTTCATCAATTGTCAGTTATGTGATAAGCCCATTACCACTTCAGCTTGCTTATTCTTCCTTAAATATAAAATATTATTATTATATTATCCATTCCTTCCTTTCCCATGAGTATCGTAAGAGGCGACTAAGGGAAATCAATGGTCGAGAGTTGGCAGTAGCGTTCCTATTAAAACATCTCCGAAGCCTAACTGTGGTTGCCAACCCGCCTGCCATCGGTCGTCCCTCGAACTGGAGACCGGTAGACATCAGAGGTTGCCAGTTCGGGGGCCGACCACATACTCTTTTTTTGTTGCAGTATCCGGCCGTAGTGCTCCTCGAATATTACGTCTAAATTGCGTCCACCATGTACCCTCTTGTATAGGCATTCCGTCACCCGTATCCAATAGCAAGGACGAGATGCCTTAAATATTGCACCGCAAACCATAAAAAAAAAACCCGCCTGCCAAGCGTGGCAACTACTGGCAAAACCTAAGGGGATAAAATCTGGAGGAGGCCTGGCTGATATGATGGTAAAAGTTATTATTATATTATTGACCTTTAAGAACCTGGTCTTATGAACCGCTAAAGGTTCTAGTTCTTATCTAGTTTATACTATTCTAATAATATTGTTGTAGAAATGGGACAGGGGTGTCCAAAATTACTTTTGTATAAAATCGCCCTATGATAAGAGTAGATTCTGTTCTAACTTAAAACATATTTTCTAAATTAATACACTTTATATATTAATTTCCACGGGCAAATAAAATACATTTAGTCTGGTGTATATTTTTTTTTTAATTTTAACTAACTCTCTAAAGAGTCTAAATACGCCTATCAATTCTTGAAACGACGGTAAACTCTTATCTTCAAAAGCTTCAAAAGCAAGACGATTCGGACGCTAAGTTCACAAAGCAATCGCTTGCCTTCCGATCTGGCTGCCCCATCTGGGATTACAGTCGTGAGTATATTTTCTAACATTACCATGCCGTATCGTTGATATTGCAGAAATTCTTTCTCAGAGAAAATGATGTTTTCTTAGATAAACAATTTTTCTTGTATAAATAAACATCAAAGAAGCCAGGATAAGGAAAAAAGTTTGAATATAGTAGTGGTGTCGAATTAAGGTCAATGAATTCAATACCAATCTAATATTGTATATTTTTTTTTATTAAAAAAATATGTATAAATCTTTTAATAAAAACGAATACCATCCTATGTACAGTTCGTGTTAAATTGTTAACTAGCTACTTTCTAATGCCTTCTCTCGCGTGAATTAGTATGTTCTTAGTTTAAATGTAACTTATCCATGTACGAAATTTTATTCAAATCAAAGTGATTTGATCAAAGTACTTATTGCATGGAAGAGTAACAAATACCTATCTGTCTCAGACTTTTGCATTTTTTTTATACCACAAAGGTGGCAAACAAATAGCGGCATATGGACGCCTACAACACAAGTCACGTGCGCGTCGTCGAGTCTGAAGAAACCTTAATCCTTTTTAAAGAACCCTTATGTTCTAATATAGAACATAAGATACTTGATATAATCCATCTGTGTACCAAATTTTAGTCACGTCTGTTCAGGAGTTATTGTAACTGGTCTTAAAAGTGTATCCGAGACTCATCCATACAAACATTCTCACAAACTTCGAAACTACCCAAAGTTCCATCCCAACCATCTAGAGGAGCGGCAATCCTTCACCGTGCGTTTTTCAAAGCACATTTTTTCACGCACAACTACTCCTTTGAAATCAATTTCCAGTGACAGTATTTCCGAACCGATACAACATCATAACCTTCAAGAAAAGAGCATATTCTTGTTTTAAAGGCCAGCAGCACAGTTGCGATTTCTCTGATATTGATGGTGCTCATGGCATGCGTTAGTCACTTATCGTCAGGTGAGATACATGCTAGTTTTTATAATGGTAAGATAAATAAGGAGCTAACGCTTCAACATTAACTAAACACAAAGTCAACAGGCAGCCCGTATTACAGTTGGATGTATTCGACAAATATTAGCGTTACAAGTTATTTGGTCTCAGCAAACACGGTGCATTATTTGGAAAAACTTGGAGGAAAATACTTTTTCCACGTTAATTATATATCTATTGAAGGTACACTGTGAGACTTTTTTTATTTATTTTTGATAAAACATGGCTGTTAACTTTTTTTTTAAATATTAAATTGATTATTGAGTCTTTGATTTATAAAATATGTATTATGAATGAAACAAAATAATAGTTCTGTTTGTAAAGAGAGATAGGACAGCCAAATGAAAATATGTTTTTTTTTGTAACACAGTTTAAATAAATATTTATTTACATTCTCTTTCGTATTGGAAAACGAGCAAATCCGTATGCCTCAACTATTCCGACATCATTACTCAAAGCACAAAGCCGTACGTGATCACAAAAGTGTAACGGTGGACTTTTCTATATAATTATAGCAAACAAAATGGCAGGATATCTGACCCTCGTCAGGCTGGACGGGACATATCTGATCCTGGTCTCCCACCACGACAGACGGGAATTGGCCTTTATTTATACAATCTTAGGTATTATATGGACAGTTTTTTAATGAATTAACAGTAGTTTTTTATCTATTTACTGAAGGTAGGAGTGGAATGTTTTGTGGATAGATATATCTAGATCTTTGTGCTACGAACGTTTTTTGTTTTTATATTTATTTCTTTTTTTTTATACTACTGAGGTTTTTTATGCAATTTAGAATAACAAACAAGCTAACGACCCACCTGATAAAAAGTGGTAACTGTCGCCTATAAATATGAGCAGTACCATGGACATAACGGAATATAGTCTTTCGCTCCTGATAACACCCATGCGTTGCCATTCCTGATGACTCAGGTGTTATTCCTCTGTACCCTGTAAATTAACTGCCATATCGTACCCTTCAAACCGACACACAGTCATGCAAATACAACTGCTTCACGATTCAAGCACGAATGGGACAGAGGTACCCAAGCAAACGACTTTTGTACAAAGTCTCCCATATTTTTTTATTGTTAAAAATTTCGTAAGCACACATTATATTTTTATTTAATAACTACCGGTTTAACTTACGTGTAATTAGACCGAGAAAGCTCCACTAGTTTCAGGATCAATTTGTTATCCTTTTTCATACCTAAAGAGTTTCAAACACCGTCTTCTTTATCTGTGACGATGCTGCAAGCGCTTGCAGCTAACGCTCAGTGGAACGAGGCGCGCAATCACACTCGCGCTCGAGTCACAGCTGCTCATGAATAAGGATCACGAATTGCTCCCAAAACTAGTCGCATTTTCTAGATCTAATTACATTATATTATTTATTGTAGCATGACATGTGATCTCACATCCTGGGCGAGAACAGAGACGACAAAGTTCATGAATACGATCATACGAAAACAGAATATTCTACTTTCAACGGTTGGTCGCACTATACCGGCTAACTAAATGCCTTCTCATATTACATTTGAAAAATTTGAGTAATGAGGTTCCTTAGTGTTAGCAACGCGTGCGTGTCATCTCAGGTGTTACAAGCATCCACAATGTAACCGTTTATCATCAGCCGGCCCGTATGCTTGTTTGTCACCATAGTAGCATAAAGAAACATTCAAACAGACATATTACCAACAATAATCCCCATAAAATCTCTCGTATTATCGAATCCATTCCGCAAGAGATGTGTAATATTTCTCGTGGTATTAATATAAAAAGTTCAGAAATGAACGGAACGGCGCTAAGCGTACACCAATCTAACTTTACCCCAAGCACAATCAGTCAAAGAGGATCAAACTGTTCTAAAACTTAACTAATATGTCAGACCGCCATCTTGAATTCGAAGCCGAGTTATTTAGTACAGTATGTGTGTAGGGACATTTTATATACTTGTGTTTATCGTTGTTTCTACTAATATTATAAGTTGAGAAGGGGGAGGGATTGTTAGAAATGAGATTTAACAGCCCCATTGCTAGCAATACACCCTATCAGGTAGGCCTCCACGCGGTTTCTTCTGAAATCCAAAGTGGTTAATTCTTGTTCAATTGTTTACTATGGGTCAACTGACCTGCCTTCATTTTCATTTATAGTTGCCCACGTTTGGCTTGTAGAGTTGTTTTAAGAGGGACGCTGTACTGGAGGGAAAGGGATTATTAGTAATGGGGTGTAAGGACCCATTGCTAGCAATATATCCTATTAGGTCGACCTCCACGCAGTTCCCCTTGGAAACCATTATGTATGGTAGTCTTGACTGATCTGTTTTCATCCTCATCTATCATCAATCACTGGTGTCCCACCCAGTGTATACCGATGCGCGGGCAGGGTTATCATTCCATACGTAAAACTAATACTTTCAAACCAATAGCTTTAGAAGGTGTTGAGATAAAGCCCTGAAACAAAAAGACGAAAGGATGGACGTAGATAATCGCACCATAAGGGGGGAAAAGAATTGTTAATAATTTGGACTAATGGCCCCATTGCTAGCAAACCCTGTCAGGTCGAACTCCACGCGGTTCCTCCTGGAAACCATTGTAATTAATACTTCTTGCATTCGTCACGTGGGTTAAATAATCTGCTTTCATACCTCATTCTATTATCCATCACTGGTGTCCTGCCAGTGTATACTGATGGCACAGGCGGGGTCACCATTTTATTATCATTCAGGAAACAAAATCGTACCATAAGGGTTTCTTCGTACCTTTTAAGTAAGGAACCCCAAAAATTTATCTGAAAAAATTTCCGTTTATTATATGAAAGTCTTATATTA